GTGCCAAAATCACATAAGTCATACCCAGCAACAGCCAGAACCTAGCGAGCGAGTATGGGGCGAAGTGGTAGAGAGCCATTCCAGCCACAGCTGCAGTCTCCTGGATGCCTGCTGCAGGACCAGAGTCTGCTAACGAATTTCTTCGCTTTCTGTTAACAGGGAGAAAGGAACAGGCCCATCCCCGATTCAAGCAGAGCAATGTCTGCCCAGTGGAACACCTTGTGAACTACCACTGTGGACACCACAGAAGACATTGCCAGGTGATATTTTCGCAAAAGCAATCCTGAATTCCCATGACAAACTAAGATAGATAAAATTATGTTAGCCTGCAGGCCAGACTCTGTTCAGTGGTGCCCAGCGACAGGACAAGGGGCAATGGGCACAAACTGAGGCACAGGAAGTTCCGTCTGAACATGAGGAGGAATTTCTTCCCTCTGAGGGTGACGGACACTGGAACAGGCTGGCCCGGGGGGGGACCCACCTGGACAAGGTCCTGTGCAGCCTGCTGTAGGTGACCCTGCTTCGGCAGGAGGGTTGGACTGGATGACCCACAGAGGTCCCTTCCAACCCCGAACATTCTGTGATTCTGTGACATCTGCTCAAAAGCTCCTGTCCATTAAAAAAGCTCCTGCTTGAGCTGCCACATGGTAACTAGCTGCTGACGAGCAAATGTTCGGATTGATGGGCATACAAGCCTCAGCACTCACCAGACAGCAGAAGAAATGCAGTTATGCCAGGAACAGAGCTATGCAAGTGCACTGCTCCATCAGAAGGGAAGCCTGCTGCCACGCTCAGAGGGCTCAAGGGGAAAGGGGAGCAGGAGAAAAACGCATTCTGTGTAGCCTGCCTCTCCCCTACCCCAACCAACTTGCACCTACAGAGCACTGCAGTGTAACAAAGCACGATCTGCCCCTTTTCTAAATATGAATTGATCTCAGTGCCAGTCTTGTTGTCAGTCACCCTGGCTGCAAACCCATGTTCTGGAACTGCACAGCTACAAACACAACTGAAAAACTTCATTAGCAGAAAGTAACAAAATACAGATGGAATGCTTTACACCTGCATAAATGAGCACAGACAACCCCCACCAACTTGCGATCTTTCCATTCTCTTCCACATTCACAGAACCCACCAGAACTGCAAAATGGAGCTCCAGGCCAGAGTCTGAAGAGCTAGCTGACTGGCTGCTACACCTGTTCTACTACAATGCGCAAAGCCTTTAAGGTATGGTCACCTCATCACACCTTTCTGCTTGACTGAATGTGAATTATACAGCAGTTCTGGAGCAAAAAGACTCACGCTGTTTGTCCCCATTCAGAGCAGTCAGACACTAGAGATGGCTCAGTCAGGCAATAAGAGGCTTTGGGGGGACAGCACACAAGCACTTAGTTGTACGTGCAGGAAGGGGAGGGAATAAGTATGAGAGGGTTGAAGACAATCTACTAATAACGTGCTCCACTTCTGCCTTCTGGGATCTAATCTCACAGCACAGGAAAGAAGGATGCTCTGTCATGACAGATGTGGGGGTGTTTGCTATCATGACTGATGATGCCATGTTTTAAAACAGAGCAACTCTCTGCAGACATCAGGAATTTAGAACTGCAGTGTGCTATGAGACAAGCCTGGCGGTAGCACCAGCTGCTTCATGGGGACAGAATGGGTTTGGCAGCTCTGCCACCTCCAGCTGCAGAGACGTGATATCCACAGCCTTTGAGAGGAGACTAGAGAAGAAGGGTAAGTACCTACACTAATTTCAAAGCTACTGCCTGGAAAGATAAGCTGGGAACAGAAGCTAATACCCTTTGAACCAACTCAAGCTCTTCTCTCTGAGCTGTGTCTGGCTGGATCTCCTCTCAAAGAGTCATATCCAGCATTGTGAGCAAGAGTCACACCCGCGTCTGCTGCATAAGACACTGGGAGATGCTTAAACCCTTTTGGAAATGAGAGTTCCTCGGCCTGGGGCAGGTCAGGATCAGAATCACCGTTCTATATGGGAGAAGTCTGTAACAAAAGATTGTCAAGGCCACAATACTTTAAGAGCTGAAGCTGACTGGGAGTTTGGCAGCCTCCAAAGGTTTATATGGAACTACAGCAGCATTTGGTGTTACTTCTGACGACAGCACTTTCCAAGCAGCCAAACAAACAAACATCATTTTCCTCTGCCAGACACAGTGGAAGGAGGACGCTGGTTTTAACAAACCTCAGTTACTGACCTCCTTTCCTTCACTGCCTCCTCTCCTCCCCAGCCTCCCATCCAGCATTTACCCGCATTACGTCCTACGAACTAACCTCTGGGCCACCGACAGAGATGCCTGCAGCAGGCACCATTTTCACCTTGGGGAAATCAGCTTTGTATATGGAAACATTTGAAAGCTTCCATGTCTATATGAAATTTGTGCACAGCTCTCTTCAGTTGCTAAACCTGAGACAGGTTTGAACTTCCGGAGTATAGACAAGAGGAAGGTTTGTGTTCAACGCTTTGAAACACGCGAATTTGTCTGAGACTCCTGACTTGCTTCACAGATAGCATTCTTCTGCTTCACGGGAGTGAAGCATTACTTAGCCAGAGAACTTGAACGGCTTCTTCAAGGTCACGTAAGGAACAACAAAACTAGAAACAGAGCTCAGATCAGAGCTTTAAACACAGTAACGCAAATACATCATCTAGCAGAGAAAGCTCCCTGCAAAGACCAGAGGTCCACTGTGCTGTATGTACACAGCAAAGGGCAGCCAAGAGAGAGCACCAACTAGCTGAGGCAGGGAAACGGAGGAACAGAGGTAAAGCAGCCTGGGGATTTACCTGAGGTAACGCTGCACATCAGCAACAGAACCGGGAATCAAAGACAAGGCAAGCCTCTGACATCCCAACCCAAGTCTTAGTCTCTGGAGTTTCACAGCGCCTCCCACCACTCCCTAAACTGTGGTGAACAGAGCTTCAGGCCAGTTCCTACTGCCCTTCCAGCAAGCTTCGGTCATATAGATTATGAGGTCCCATCAAGCATTCCTGAAGAGACCCAAGAAGTGGACAACACAGACTGCTTTCCTATTCCAGAACCAGACAGAGTCACGGGATGACAGAATCTGAGAGTGCCTCACATTTGCATAATAAATTCAGAGATGAGCCAACTGGAACGCCGATAAGCTTCATTAGTGAATGCTGTGTACAAAAAAAAGCTTCAGAGCAAGCTCCTCTGTCGCTACAGAACTCAGTTCTCAGCCCTGACCAGACAGTATCCTTTCCCATTCCCTTCATTTCTTTCCCTGTTCTGTGACTCACTCAGCAGCACTATATTTGCATTTAATTCCATACACACTTTGGGGAAGCACTTTACGTGAAAGACAGCACACAAACTAAGATGCATTCCAAATCAATTTTAAATCAGAAAAGACTTGGAGAAAGCATCTTCTCAAACCACTAAAGCTTTTAGTAGTCTAATTCTACATCCAGGAGGAGAACAGAAAAATGCCAAAAATTCTCACAAAACATGGCTTAACAAGACCTACATTCGGTATTGACATCTGCCAATAACCAAACACACCCCACAACCAAATTCAGAAGACAGAAGATTGAAGGCAATACCATTAATGTGGGTTAGCTTTTAGTCCCAAGTCATGACATCACCCTTCTACATTCCTCTTATGAAAATGTCACCACAACAACAGGATTTAACTACACCTACTGAGGCTGATGTCCCTCTCAGAACAGTTCAACGTTCAGTATCAAATATCACTATCTCTTACACATTAAAGTGACAAGCACCATTTTTCACAGGCTACTGTTACGAACACTTCAGTAAGGTATGTCTGGCACAGCCTGCACGCACAGCTCTTCTGTTCCCACTTCTCGACTTCCCCTCACAAAAATATTCAGAGGGCCAAAGATTTCTGTCTCCCTAACAAGATCAAAGTTAACCTCGGAGAAAGGCACTACACCGGGCCAAGAATTCCCTTTATATATGGCTGGGAACCTAACACTCTCAGTCCAGCACCACCACAGAATAAGACACAAATCACTTGGCTAAGGAGTAAGCCGAGACGTGTGCAAGAGAGATAAAGAGTGGCAAAAAGTGATTTTCTGGGGGTGTTATGTTTGCTCTTGATACAAGAGTTTAAAACAAATTTTTAATCACCACTTACCTGGCTGGCAAATTCTCTCAAGTGAGCCATGCCTACAGGATGGTCAGACATCCGCTGTTGCAAAATCAGGGAGGGCTGGGATGTCGTAGCACAGCAGGAAAGCGACGCTTTCTCATCCACTGGTCAAGTGCAACAAGCAAGAACACAACAGCTCTAACTTGAGGTTCTTGGAGCCTGGCTCATTCCCAGAAGAGCTACCTGCACCATTTTTCTCCTCGATTTGCAGTTCTCCTTGAACCTACCAGGCCATTCTGCCAGCCCCTCCTTGTAAACCCCATTTCTCAATTCTTTCCACATTATCAAGGAACCTCCCTTTACTGACGAAGCCTCGGGCACCATTTTCCCCACCGTCACCTCAGCGTGCTCCCCAGTATGACAGCTGCCCCTGCAGCACTATGCCCTCACCACCCCTCCCAGCATCTTCCCCAGCACAGCCCACAGCGCTGTCCTCAGACTCTCCTTTCCTGCTACTGCTCGCCAGTCACCTTCTCACTGGGAGCATCCCCCTGCTCCCATTCTCCCCAGTACACCCCCTTGCAAAGCTCAGCTCCCCACCGCACCTCTTCCTCCTCGGGGAACCCCGACCCTACGCCGTGCCCATGCCACCAGCGCTCCCCACTTCTGCCCCCGGACCCCACGCTGCTCCCCGCAGGGCTCCCCTCCGCCCCAGCAACACCAGAGCCCCCA